ACCCCATAATTCCCCCCTTCTGCGCGCCGCCAAACCGCAACGTCCGCCCTCCTCCCCTCACCTCTTCTGCGCGCCGCCGCGCCGAGAGGTCCTCCTCGGAGGCCTGGTCCCCGAGGCCCGCGCCCGCCGACGGTGCGCTGGAGGCGGCCGAGAGCACCGGGCTCGCCTCGGGCACGCGCCGACGCGGATGAGAGAGCCGCGGAGCTACGGTAGAGGGAAACAATTTCTGAACACTCCCACTCCCCCCCAAACTCAACGTTGGCACGCGCGGGGGAGACTGCGGTCGAAGTGCATCTCATCAGACCCACCGCCAACTTTGAACATTGGGGGGAGGGGGAGGCGTTGACGGATGAATGTGGCATGTGTTCGCTAATTTGTTCCGAGGCCTGTAGCGCGTACGGGCGCCAGATCCACAGATCGGGGAGAGCACACGCCGGTCGGAAGAAGCAGGTAAAAACATCTGAAAGCGGGAAGGCGGACAGGGCAGATGGGGTTCAGGCCCCCCCAGAGAATAGCCAAACACAGCAGAAGCAGATCGGTCCTTGAAGCAGGCAGGCGCTTGACGCAGACCGGGATCTGGGAATCCGCAGATATAGACCTCCGTTCGGCGACCCGCGCGTGGCACCCCCAGTTAACGGGAAGCGCGGGCCGCCGCACGTGCGGCGACGGAGCGCGCGCCGACTCCGCACGGAAGCGGGGCCCGCCGCTCGCCGCGCGCGCCCGGGCCCGGGCTCAATTGCGCTCCCTCGCTCGCCGCGGGGGCCGCCCGCGCGGGCAGCGGCGGCGGCCCCCGGCTGGGCGTGGGCGGCGGCGCCGCGCCCCAGGGCGGCGGCGGGGCGAGGGCGGGGCGCGGCCGCGGCAGCGCCGCCAGCGGGACCAGGCCCAGGCCTGTGGGAGGCCCCGCACGCACGCGCGTTGCGCGTCGGGGCAACACGCAGGGAGGGGGCCCCGCGGCCGGCACGCGCCGCGGCGGCGCGGGCGCCGGCTCTCTGACGCCGCGCGGGCCGCTCCACCTAGAGAACGCGCCGCGGCTCTCCGAGGGCGCAGATCGCTCGACATCGGCCGACTCTGGGCCACTGGCGGCGTTTATCGGCTACACGCAAGAGTGACCCTGGGTAAGAGCGACCTTTGGTGCGCGGCTCTTTGGGGGCCGCGTGGGGACCAAACCTGGGCGCGCAAGCCGTTGCTCCTGCTTCGTTTTCCGCCATCTGGGGACCGATCTGTGCCCGCACCAAAGGTCACTCTGGCGAAAGGTCACTCTTACGTCTAGTCGAGTTTACCCTCGAACGCCCGCGCCGGAGTCGCCGCCGCGTCAACGCGCCGCAAACCTACCGTAGGCAAGGGGGACCTTCGGCGCGCGGCTTGAGGAAGCCGCGGGGACTCCAAGTCCCAGCGCGCAAGCCAGTGCTCGGGGGGCCACGGTGGGCCCACACCAGGTGGGCCCCGGCGAACGGTCACTCTTACGAGCAGCACTCTTACGAGCAGCCGAGCAGTGCACTGCGCTGCTTTCGGTTTGCATGTCATTGCATGTCATTGCATGTCATTGCATGTCATTGCATTGCATTGCATTGCATTGCATTGCATTGCATTGCATTGCATTGCATTGCATTGCATTGCATTGCATTGCATTGCATTCCATTGCATTGCATTGCATTTGCATTTGCATTTGCATTGCATTTGCATTTGCATTTGCATTTGCATTTGCATTTGCATTTGCATTTGCATTTGCATTTGCATTTGCATTTGCATTTGCATTTGCATTTGCATTTGCATTTGCATTGCGTTGCATTGCATTGCATTGCATTGCATTGCATTGCATTGCATTGCATTGCATTGCATTGCATTGCATTGCATTGCATTGCATTGCATTGCATTGCTTCGCTCGTTTGTACAGCATCGTTCTCCGAACCGATGCATGCCTTTGTGCTTCTTAACCCTGAGATCCCGGCGCAGCGACGCTGGCCGACGCCATCTCGGCGCTAGTCCATCGAGTCTCCGACGCTACTCGCCAGGCTCCCATGATTTGCTACCGAGCCAACAATGTTGCAATACTTTCGCGACGTTGGACCTCAGGGATGAGGAGCCGATGCCGCTCCTGCCCTTCCCTCGTCGCTGCAGCTGGAGTTTCGCCTCGAGGTCACTGCCAGCAAGCGCCCCTGGGAGAGGTCCGGGAAGAGCGGGGGCCAGGCCCAAGGCCTACGCTTAAGTCGGGTCTGTCCCCACACAGGGGATTTTCGAAGAAAACTTAGAAATTGTCAAAACAATCTCAAACATTGTCAACAAAATACTCAAAACGTCGTCCCCTGAATATTTTGACTGTTTTCGAATATTTCCCCTGTAGAGGGACAAGCCCGACTTAAGCCTACGCATGACCAATCAGCATCGAATCGAACCAGAACGCGAGTCGGGTCGGGCTGCACCTGCATGGAATCGGAATCGGATCAGATCGGCCGCGCAACAGAGCCGTGCAACCGTTGGGCCGCACCGGGTCGCCGGAGACTCAAACTCGACTCGGCTCGAGCGGGCCGACGTCAACATCGAACCGGTTGGATCGGATCGAGGCCCAGGCCTGCGAAGTCCCGACTTTCTCCATGCGAGGTCCCCGAGCGGCCCGACCCTTTCCCCGGGGCTGCTCGCCACCCCGAGCCTCGAGTCGGTTTTTCGGGCCGGGCGAAAGGAAGGGATAGCAAAGGGAGGGGGTGAGAATCAGCTCGCGTAGCTGATTTTCCCAGCGCCTCCCGGCGCCAGAGGCGGCTATGTACCGAGGAATGGGCCCCTCGGTGGGGCCGAAACCAGCTGCATGCAGCAAATTTCGTAACCCCCCTTTCCCAATCCCCCCCTTTCGTCCGGCCCGAGTTTTGGACGGTCCCAGGCCAGGCGAGGGCCCCGGAGGCCCGAAACGGCCCAGGACCTCGCGTCGCGACTGCTGTCGGGACGCGGGCATGTCTGGGGAGGGGCCGGCGGCGCGCACGAGGGGGCAGGGGCAGGGGGGGAAGGCGCCTTGGAAGGCGGCTGCCTCTCAGAGGGCGCGGGCCTCAGACCTAGAGATGATCGGGCCCGCGCCCTCTGAGAAGCATGGTGCCTCCGAGAAGCCTTCCCCCCTCTCCCATAATTCCCCCCCCCCCCTTCTGCGCGTGGCCTCCCCCATAATTCCCCCTCCCCCATGATTCCCCCATAGTTCCCCCATAACTCCCCCCCCCCATAACTCCCCCATAATTCCCCCCTCCCCCATAATTCCCCCCTCCCCACTCCCTCGTGCTCCCTTCTGCGCGTGGCCGAATTGGGGCCCTTTGGGCCTGCGTCCATGGCCCGGAACGGCTTGAGGGGCGTCAGAGGCCCAGGGCCCGCGAAGGCCATCGGCACCGAGGCGCTCATGCTGGCCCTGCCGCGGCCCCCCGCGCGAGGGTCGCGGGCGGTGGCGGTGACGAGGAGCCCGGCGTGCTTCGCGCCCGCTGCTCGCAGTCAAAATGGCTCGGGCCAGAACGGGGCGCAGGGGGGCAGGCGTCCTCCCTGGAGGCGTGCGGCCGACCAGATCACATGCTTACAGCCATCTCATGGTGTATATATACCTATATATACATAAATATATATATATATATATGTATAATCCTTATATATACATATATATATATACATATATATATATGTATATATATATACATATATATATATATATATATATGTGTATATATACATATACATATATATATATATATCCTTGCCCCAGCGGGCATGGCCAGAAAGCGCCCGCCACCGAGCAGATGCCGAACAGAAATGTCTGAGCGCGCGCGTCGCCCTATTGTGGGGGGCGATGCGCACACGATGGACGTCTGTATGTTGCCCGGCCTTTGTGTAGCGTGTGGTGCTCTGCCGATGCGCCGTCTGGGCGCGGCTTCGTCCTGTCCTGGCCTGGCAGACCGACGAGGTAGCGCGCGGGCCGCTCGACACTGAGCACCTTCGCTGTCGGGGGGCCGCAGGAGAGCTGTGCACCGCGTCCGGTAAGGGGTGCTCGAGGCCGTGCACCTGCATGGACGGCGGGGGGCGTGGCGAGGCCCCCCAAAAAACTGGAGCCTCTCGCAAGTCGGGACACGCTTGCACGCCTTTTCGGTCCAGCGCTGCTTGAAAAGGCAGCGCAGAGGGGGGGAAGGGGCAGGGACCAAATGCCATGCAAGTGGGTTTGTTCGAAAATATAGTAAGACGCTCTACTACTTAAACTGTTTGTCAGAGGGTCGTCGATGTAGAGAGCATACGCCCGCGCTGACGACGAACTGCGACGGCAAAAGCCTATCATAGACCCGCGTCATGAAAGATACGGGCTTCAACACACAGTTGCACATGAGTTTTCTAGCCCAACCAACCCTGAGATCATGGCGTCGCATTTTTATAACAACAGGCGATTGTGCTTTGTTTCGGTCCACGGGACCATCACAGATCAATTCGGCTCGAAAAGTGCCGCAGCAAGATGAGGTTCAGGGCTGCGGTCGTGATTTTCACGATGTGGCAATTTTCTCGTGGAGTCGGATCTCAGGGAATCCGTGTGGCTGCTGGGGCCCAACAATAAATGACAACGAAGCCGGTCGCGAAGTTGAGCGACGCCCGAAGTGAGAATGAGGGGGGAAGAGCCGCAGAATGCGAGAGTCTGGTACGTCTGCTTGCCCTCACCCAACTTGGCGGTGCGCAAACAGGAGGTATTTTCTCTCGATCTCGGCCTCTGAAAACAGTTTTCGGGCCCTGGAGCGGCAAAAACAAAACAAGCAAACCAGACGAAAAACTACCCTCGGGGAAGGAACAAGAACCTCTAGGGCCTGCGGATTGGAAAGATCACATCGGCGGGTGTCTGGGACCACTTCCTAGACACCGGCTTGTAATCATGGCAAAGAAAGGTTTCTCTGGGGGCCCTGTTCATTGGGGACGCGTCTGCACCTGCAAGCGTCAAGTGCGATCTTGCGGGAGAGGGCCGGAGCAAAAACAGGGGAGTTGGGGGGAGGCGGGAAAGAGTCCTTGATGCCCTTCTGAAGTGCATCGATCTCCTTCACACATGCCTCCATCGTCTCTTTGGCATCGGCGATGGCGGTCTCCGTGTCCGATATCTTCTGGGTCAGAGCTTTGGCCTTGTCTTCAGCGGTGTCGAGGGATTTGCCGCAGTACTCCTTCTTGTTCTCGTCCTCAACCTCGCCGCGGTGACTCCCGCCGCCCATTCGTGAGCAGATTCGCGGAGCATGCCGAAAGTCCCAGCCACCCTCCACCACCCGCTTTCTCCCCCCACTCTCGGGTCGGGCGAAAGGGGGGAATAGCAAAGGGGGGGAGTGAGAATCAGCTCACGTAGCTGATTTTCCCGGCGCCTCCCGGCGCCGGAGGCGGCTATGTATCGAGGAATGGGCCCCTCGGTGGGGCCGAAACCAGCTGCATGCAGCAAATTTCGAACCCCCCCCTTTCCCAATCCCCCCCTTGCGTCCGGCCCGACACTCTGCCCCCTCTCACATGAAGCAGTCCGCTGTGTCAGGACCTCAGCGCCCCAGACATCCGTCTGGGTCGCCCAACTTACATCAAGGGGCTTAAGGACACACAAATAAATACACACAAATAAAATGATTCCCCATATTTTTCCATATTTTCTGGGTTTTCGTCTTCCCGCCCAATTCCCATATTTTCCCATATTTTCTGGGGAATCGAGGAGTAATTGTGTCTGTGTGTTTTTTCCTCTCCTGATTACAGCCGGGAACGCTTTTGCCCAGCGAGACGGGGCGGCGGCCCGGGCGACGCGCTGTGCCCTGCAAGCTGAGGGCGCGTTGCGGGAGGCCGGGAAAGCCCCTCGGGACGTGGACGCCTGGTGATTGGGAAGCGGTTGGCGAGTCGCACCGATGCGCGGACGGGAACTGCCCGAGCGGCACTCCACAGGGCAGTCTTTTTAAATACATAGGATTGTTTGAAAACATTGGGTTTTCTGAAGACATGATTCATGTATGAGTAGATGTATGCATGAACTCATCGTTGTTTTTTAAAAAACTAAATCCCTGCATTTGTAATACATGATCCGCACGCGGAGCAGGTATCGAAAACGGCACTCTAAGCAGACGCTCCTGACGGTAGCGCCTCGCGACGCGCGAGGCAGCGTTGTCTTTGCGCTGCCGGGCGGCCCCGTGGAGGAGGGCAGCTGAGCCGCCCCAGACTTCGAAGCGCGACGCGCGGTGACCCTCGGCGCACCTGCGGGCAGGATCAGTCAGCACAGGATCGGGAAATCGGACCAAATCGGAACGCGCGCCAGACAAGGCTGCGTCGGCAAGGAATCGGACTCGAATCGGATCGGCTGCGCCAGGATGCACAACACCCGCCCATCGAACGCGGACTCTCCTGCCCATGATGTACGATGGCAAGCGGGTGCAAGTCCGAGAATCTCGGCCCATGAGGTGGAGGAGGTGGAGGGAGGACAGGGAGAGAGGTCGAGGAGGAGAGAGGAGGGAGGGCTGCAAGAGAACTTGGTGGGGGACGAGGAGGAGGAGTAGGAGGCGGAGCAGGAGCAGGAGGAAGAGGAGGAGGAGCGGGTCGGATCAGCAATCCATGAAAATGCACGTAACGCGAGCAGCAGCAGGGGGAGCGCCATAAGAGGAGGAGGAGGAGGAGGAGGAGGAGGAGGAGGAGGAGGAGGAGAAGGAGGAGGGAGGAGGATGTAGCTTCCCGTAAACATCACCCACCAGCTGCAGCTAGAACTCGACGTCTGGAGGGAGGATGTCCACCGCAACTACTCTGAGCTTGGGGAAGAGGAATCCTTGGCTTTGCATGGAGCGGTCTAGATCATACCGAACAGCGCGACGAGGGTCGCAAGGCTGACGGAGGCGAAGTATATGTCCAAGGCAAGTGTGCGCTGCACACCGAAAGTGGACACATAGCGAAGAGGAGTCGCAGCACCCGAGAGAGACAAGACGGCGTCCAAGGTTGGACAAGAGGAGGTTCACCTCAGCAGCCCTGAGGGCGAGGACGCTGCACAGGACGCTGCACACCCCTCATGAAGCGGAGGCGCCGGTAACGCCAAATCCCCATGCATAATTCCAGATGGTGATCGAAGCTAGGCGAGAGAGGTCTGAATGGGACAGGGATCCCTGGTGGCCTAGCCTCGAAAAAACAACTTGGGCCAGCTAGGGACAAAGCAGCAACAACAGGGCAAACAACTCTGCTATACGGCAGGTTCGTGTCGTGACGGCCCCGACGTTCGTTTCTGACACCACATCGATCGTTTATACTTGAACGATCGGCAGCTTTTCGATCACCAAATTGTCCCATGTTGTACGGCCCTGGGCCACTGGCAATGTTCAACCTTGAACGCCCGCGTTAAGGTCGCCGCCGCGTCGACACGACACAACAAGAACCCCGCGCTCCGCACTACTTCCTGCCATGGGGGATTCAGCTGCTCTGATGTCAAACTGGGCGACTCGAGAACGTACGCTTTACATGCTCGACCTTCGCGCCACTGCTCCGTATAGGAAGGAGGGAGGAGGGAGGATGGGAGGGGGGAGCGGTCGACCAGGAGGGGATACCAGGGGTGTCGGATTTGGGTAAGGGCTTGTGAGGGCACGTCGAACAGGACGGGATTCTGGTATCGAGCCTCATGCCCCTTCTCCCTCTTCTGTCCTCCTCCCTCCTCCCCCTCTTTCTCCTCATTCCCCACCCTCCTCCTCCTTCCATCACCTGCCTCTTCCTTGTCCCCCCCAACAGGGGTTTACGGGATTCCTGGACGCCTGGGCTGCAGATTCCCCCACCCCTAGGAATTTAAAAGCCAAAAGTTAAACAAGTCCAGACAGTTCTGAATGTTTGATATGTTTGAAATTCGGGTGGTCTGGGGGGCTCGAGATTCCTGATCGCCCGGGCTGCGAAGCCCCCAACCCCTGAAGAATTGCAAACATGAAAACCAACCTGATGCGTGCAGCTTGTGCTTAAAACCTCCCAAACGTTCAAAGCATGGGGTACAGGGGGCGTGGGAATTCCTGGTCGCCTAGGCTGCGGGGTCACCAGCCCCTGGGAATGTCAGAATTGTCCCTGCGTCTCTCAAACAAAAACCTGCACTTTTCCCCCGAAGAAAAATCAAATAATTTGAAATGCTGGTGGTCTGGAGGTTTCAAGAGACCTGGTCGCATGGGCTGCGGTTTCCCCAGCCCACATGTTTCACAATGTGTGAATTCATTTGAACCAGAAAAGAAACCGTTTCAAATTGCTACAACTTCTCTGAGTGACAAAAAACTTGGTGTTTGGGGGGGAGTCGGGATTCCTCGTCGGCTGGGCTGCGGAGTCCCCAACCCTTGGGAAGTCAAATATTTGAAACATCATAACCTGTCACATGCTTATGTATTCAAAGCGTTAGAGAGAGAGAGAGAGAGAGAGAGAGAGAGAGAGAGCGCGCCCGGGGTAAACTCCCCAAGGGGGGTCCCCCTTAGCCGCCTCCCCCTTGGACATTCCCTGCTGGAAGCGTTTCCCTCCTCCTTCTTTTCCGACCCTCGGAAGCTCCCCCCTTCCCTCCCTTTCGCGCTCCGGAAGCTACCCCCCTCCCCTCCTTGTCCAAAGGGGGGAGGGCTTAGCAACCCCCTCCCTGGAAGCCCCCCCCATCCTTTTTTGTTCGGCCCCTCGGAAGCTACCCTCCCCCCCTCCCCCCTCTTCGCGTTCCGAAGGCTACCCTCCCCCCCCGCCTTCATTCCCAAAGGGGGGGGGGCTTAGCTACTTTGAACCCCCCCTGCCAGAAGCCCCCCCCCCCTCCCCCCCTTTCGGGCCAAGGGGGGGGGCGGCTTGGAAGCCCCCCCCACCCCTTAGCTACGAAGACTCCCATGCGGGACCCTGCCGTCGCAGAAATTCTCGGACTGCCTCCGAGGGGACCCACGACTCTCCCACGAGCCCCCCCTGGAGGCGCTCAAAAAACGGTTGGAGCCGGGGCCATGGCGGTCGCAGAAACCACCAAGCTGACCCGAAGAAGCCCCACGCATTGGCACGAGGACCCCTCTTCGGAACAAGAAGGCTCCAAGACGGACCCAGGGGTTCGCCTGACTGTCCCAAGAGGCCTCCAAGACGGCCCGAGAGAGGTTCCGAGGCGGCCTCCTTGAAGCTAAGAGCCTCTTCCGATGGTCACAGGAACACTCGAGAGTGCCAAGGCGCCCCCAAGATGAAACAAAAGAACCCCAAGACGAGCCCTGACGCCCGCAATCTGATCCCAATATGCCTCCCAAGACGGACCAAGAGGAGCTCCCAGATCAGTTTCTTATAGAAATGGTCGCATCACTTTCGAATCCGACCCGGCTTCCATCTCCCGCGACGATCAAGCAAAACCTACCAACAACCACATGAACGTAATAGTTGTCGCGTGTTTGTTCTGGCTGCCTCTACGGGGGTTCCACGACTCTCAATGAGCCCCTCTGGAGGCGCTCAAAACGGTTGGAGTTGGGGCCCTGACGGCCCCAGAAACTATCAAGCTGGCCCGAAGAAACTCCACACATGGGCATGAGGACCCCAAGCCGGAGCATAGGGGCTGCAAGACGGACCCAGAGACTCGCCAGACGGTCCCAAGAGGCCCTTCATCTTCCTCGCGACCAGCCCGCCGTTGCTCCACCCGCCCCCCCCATCTTCACACGCTTATAGATACATATGTGGCTGCTACGTTGTATCACAATCGCGTCTATATAGCTTAACCGCAACTACCAGCATGGGAGTGTGAGACGATGGGTATTGTACACATATGGGTATCCTCATCTATAGTATACACACGTATACAACTATACGCTACACAATGACCATATGAATGTATATATATATACATATATAAATATATATATATATATATATGGATGCGAGCTTATGTACATGTGCATGCAATTACGCATGCGCACATATCGACCTTTCATCGTTGCCCCAATCCTGCACCAGTACCAATGGTCCTCCATCAACGACTGCATGCCAAGCATCAACCAGTGCGCCGCATCAATACCATTTGCTCTCCAGGAGCACTCGCAACATATATGATTTTGCCGCGGTTGATCTGGGGGCCTTCTTGGTCTTGTCTTGGAGCTTCCTTAGGACCCCTTGTCGGGCTATCCCTCAGCCTTACGATTGTCCCGTGAGGGTTCGCAGAGCGATAGAACAGGACCCCGTGAAGGCTTCCGAAGCAAGGTGAAACAAAGTGAATATCGTTGCGGATGCTCTGATGGCCATCTCGGGACCCCTTCCTGGGGCTATTGAAGAACCTGCGAGGCCGCCGAAGAGGAGGATGAGGAGGATGGTGGTGGTGGAGGAAAAAAAAAGTAGCTCAAGAGGTGCAGGCACCCAGACAAGCGAGACGTAACTGTCGATCTGGAATTGATGAAAAAACCTTGTTCTTTGATTCCAGGCATCCCAGGAGTCCTGTCCGTGCCTGTGCCCTTGCAGAAGCGAGCTGAGATCAGTCGCCATCCTGTGTTCATATGTTGTTCCTCTGCCTTGTAGACAATAACATTTGGGGGAAGGAGAGGAGGAGGAGGAGGAGGAGGAGGAGGATCAGGAGCAGGAGCAGGAGCAGGAGGAGGAGAAGCTCCAGAAGGCCCCTGGAGCCAGGAGGCTTCAAGACAACAAAAAATGTTCAGGAGGCCACATGGGGTCCCAGGACGCTCCAGGAGGCGACCCCGCGAGGGCCCAGGGGGATCCAGGTGGGTCCCCCCTCCTGGTCGATCCGCCGGGAGGGAGGGAGGGAGGAGAAGGAGGAGGGGGGGAGCGAGAGGAGAAGAGGCAAGAGGGGGGAAGCGGAAGGAGGATGGACGAGGGGAGTGAGGAGGATGGCAGGAGAGAGGGGGGATGGAGGAGGGGGGGCAGGAGGGTGGAGGAAGAGGACCCGCCCTCGCATGCCAGCCTGCTCGTCCCCGAGCAGCTTCACCATGCCGTCGATCATGGCAATGACCTTCGCGAAGCTGAAGCCGCGGCCCTGCAGGGCCAGCGACAGGAAGTCGAGCCGGGCCCTCTCCGCGGGCCTCTTCCCCGCGCGCGCCGCGCTGATCAGAGCCACGGCCTCGCGGCGCGGGGAGGGGAAGGACAGGGAGGAGGAGAACAGGAAGAAGCACGAGGATTGGATTGCCCCCATCGCACTTCAGGACCACATCCCAGAAAGAAGTTCGAGCACACAGGAAAACTATCGAGACAGCGTCGGACGAGTATCGCCCCGCAGGGCCCGACGCGTGAAAACGCTCCAGTTTCGGTACTTGCTTGGTGCTCGAGTTTTTGTCTCGGGATCAAGGCTAAAAGCAGGTTGGAACATCATAAGCCGAGTAGGAAGAAGGAGGAGGCACAGCGTGAGAATCAGGAGTCATCCGAAGCGGAACCTGGCCCACAAGCGGGAGGGACGAGGCGAACGAACCTCGGGCCTCTTCGAGGCACTCCCAGCGAGTGGAGCGCGGAGGGCGGCCCTAGTCGCGGGGCGCCTGCCGTCCAGGAGCCGGCTCCTGGCGCTGCGACGGACAGGGGCTGGGGGGCTCCGAGCAGGACGAGAGTGATGTCACAAAACGATGTGCTCGAGATGCCTTCTGGGACATCCGGACTATCCAGCGGCCCTCGTTTCTGCAGCCCGCGTGGAACACGAGGGAACACGGAGAAGCCTCAAGATCTAGAAGCAGCAGGAAGGGGCAGACAGGTCCGTCTTGCCGGACCCCGATGCAACCCTCGCGCCGAAGCGGGCGGCAGACGGAGCAGGGACCCGCCGAGCGAATGCCGCGACCACCGCATATGGGTAGCGCGCCCCAGCGGTTTGTTGCTCAAAACTGCTGGCCGTTGTGCACCAGATCTGAATGGTTGCATTGTGGATGTGGGCGTCATGTAATGTGATCGATGAAAGGTGACTAATATTCGTAGATACTGACTTGTCAACTCCACTGCTCGCGCAAAAACTTCACCCTCCCACCCGCAAATTGTTTTGAAAAACCCATGCGGCCACGATTGCGGATGTGCTTGGCACTGGCTAGCGCATCTCTGCAGCCGCGCTGGCGCGCGCAAACTCGCGCACTGAGCGGTCAGCTGGTTTGGCACAACTGATATGGCCGCGATGGCGCTTGCTGGTGGGAACTTCAAAGCGCGTTTCAGAGGCCGCGCTGGCGCATGGGCACTTCAGTGCGGGTCGGTGACCCGGGCGGGCGCGGTGTCACGATGACGCCGACGAAAGCGGCAACGATGATGATGGTAGCGATGGTGGCGGCGATCATGGACGAGGACGACGGCCAGGCCAATGACGGCGCCAATGCTGGAGACGACGATGCCGGTGATGATGTCCGTGTGTCGGTGGTTGACATGATGGACTGATGATGTTGGCACTGGCGGCGCTTGGTGATGACGACAGAAGCGGTGATGCGATGATGCTGATGAGGGTAATGAAAAAGAAGTGCGCGCGCAGAAGTTCAAGAGCAATGGCAGACTCTATCTTGAAACACATGTGTGTGATCCATGAGTATGTGAAAAGATGTATCTTGAAATGCGTCACGAACCAATGGCTTTGAAATGCAGTCGGCACGCGAGCCGTGGCGCGCGCGTGTTGCCCGCATGATAACACTCCCCACGCAGCGCTCGCACTCAGAGGTTCTTCCTCCTCCTCCTCCTCTAAGGAACTGGGCCGTGTGGGCGGTCTGGCGGCTATAGTCCCGCCATCGCCGCCTTGTCGCCGCCCGTCGTCTGGTCCGTGTGAGCGGTCTGGCGGCTATGTTCACGCCGTCGCCGCCCCGTCGCCGCCCCGTCGCCGCCGCTGGAGTCTTCTCCTCTCTTACACCCCCATCCCCCCCCCCCCCCCGAGACTATCACCCCCCCCCCTCTGGGGCATTTGCGTTTGATTTTCCTCCTTGCTCATTTTCCATCTGAACCCATATCAGCCATGCCAGACTGGTATCCACACACCCCCACATCCCCGTCATGAGACCAGGCTGTGCACATGCGTTGATGTAAGATGAGTTTCTGGCAGGAAACCTTTTCAACGAATACCGTGCGGGCCACGCACGCGCGCGCGCAAGGCAACATCCGTCCAACAACTTGTTATTTTCGGAGCGGCTTCAGCCAAAAACATCGAGAGCCCGATGGCGCTTCAATACGAATATTCAAATGTTCCTCCCGCGCGCTCTTGCGGTTCGTCGGGAAACCAGTGTTTGTTCAACTTTCCTGTGCACGGAGGACTTCGCGCGCATGTCGTACTTATTGCAACGCCCTCGCGCACTTGCCAGAGGCATGGTCCCTGTCGACTAATACATGCGGGGCACATACGTTCATCGATGCTGAGCTCGTGTCGCGACTCCCTGTCGAGCAGTACCACGCGGTGCGCATGCGTTGATCGAGGAGGGATGCGGGCCACATTCGCGTCATTCTCCTGAGAGAATTGAAGGGTTAATCCTCTATTCCTTGCGCGCCACATCTCTGCGGGGAGTTGAGGGGCCACCCTTTTGTTCCTGACGTCTCCTCCTATGCCACCCTCGCGTTCCTGCCTTCCTCCCTCATCCCTTTTCCGTTGTCGTTTCATTGCTTGGGTGATGTGTCATCCCTTCCCTCCTCTTTGGGTCATGTGTCATCATCCGTCATCCCTTATCCCCCTGCCCCTTTTCTATGTCCAGTCCTGATTAATGTTTGTCTCTTTCGCTCTCTCTCTCTCTCTCGTTCGTTTAGTTTCGTTTTGCCCTCGTCTTCTCTCCCTGCGCGTCGCTCTCCGTCCCTTCCTTCCTCCCTCCTCCCATTACCCGTTGTCGTTCCCTTCCATAATGTTCCCCCTCTCTGAATGGGGGTAGAACTGAGAGGAAAAGTAGATGCGGTGTGAGCTGCGTGGTTTAAGGTATGAGGCGCAAGCAATGCGCTGCACCTGCGCAAACAGTGGCACAGGGCGGACAAAAAGGCGAATCCTCGACAGTCCCCCCAGCCGCGGTGGGCGGCAACGGGGCAGCCACGGGCGGCCACGTGGCCAATCCTCGGCGGAACCCCCCTCAGCGGCAACGAGGCGACCACGGGCGGCAACGTGGCGAAACCTCGGCAGACCCCCCAACGGCAACGAGGCGACAGCGGGCGGCGACGTGGCGAGACCTCGGCGGACTCCCCAACGGCTACGAGGCGGCAGCGGGAGCGGCGACGTGGCGAGACCTCGGCGGACCCATCCGAGCCCTCGGCGACGGAGTGCAAAGGCCCTCGCTGCCGACCCTTCCGATCGCGAAGGGCAGGCAACCCCCAAGTGCAAGCACGGCGCTGTGGGCGGCCACGGGGCGGCCACGGGGCGGCAACGTGGCGAAACCTCGGCGGTGTGCCCGTGCAAGGCCTCAGTGACAGAAGCGAGAACCCCTAACCGCAAGCACCTCTTGCCGACCCTCCCGTGGGACGCACAGAGACATACTGATACCAAATGTCCTCCTGGGAGGCGCGCGTCCGACCCGAACATCTGGTATACCCGTCTTGTGGTAGATCCTTTCCCGAGCGGGGTTGCCAGACAGCGCCCGCCACGACGCATATACCGGAAGATCTCTCGGTGTGCGCGTCGCCCCTGGGGGGCCACGCACATAGAGTATAAAGCATGTTGGGGTGGCGCCGAGCCCGACCGCAGAGAAGAAGCAGCCCCCCCTGAGTGCAAGCACGGCGCTATGTGCGGCAGCGGGGCGGCCACGGGCCGAGAGGCCCCGAGAAGAGGCCCCTGGGGCCGCCAAGAATCCCGAGACGCCCCAACAGGCCGGCCAACAACTCGCGAGATACGTTCGGAGAGACTCCAAGAAGCAGCCAGACCTCCGCTTGGCATCTCTGTCATCCCTCGCCCTCGCCCTCGCCCTCGCCCTCGCCCTCCTGCTCGCGGCAACGTGGCGAAACCTCGGCGGGGCGGGCGAGTGGCGAGGAGTGAGGAGGAGGTGCTTGAGGAGGAGGAGGCGGAGGAGGAGGAGGAGGAGGAGGAGGAGGAGGAGAGGAGGAGGAGGAGGAGGAGAGGAGGGAGAGGCAGGGAGAGGGAGGAGCGGGGGAACAGGAGGGAGGAGAGGGCCACGGGCGGGGCCACGTGGCGAGACCTCGGCGGAGCCCCCCCGGGCGCGGTGGGAGGCCACGGGGAGGCCACGCCGTCGGCCGAGCGGCGAGGCCTCGCGAGGCCTCTCGGCGCGGCGGACTGCTCGGCACCCCCGGGGCGCCTCCTCTGCCGCCGCCCTCAGGGGCCTCCTCCTCCCCCTCCTCCTCCTCCTCCTCCTCCTCCTCTTTTCCTCCTCCTCCTCCTCCTCCTCCTCCTCCTCCGCCCTCCCCCTCCTCCTCCGCCTCACTCCTCCTCCTCCTCACTCCATCCTCCTCCCTCCGCCTCCTCCTCCCTCCTCCTCCTCCTCCTCCTCCTCCTCCTCCTCCTCCCTCCCTCCTCCTCCTCCTCCTCCTCCTCCTCCTCCTCCCCTCCTCCTCCTCCTCCTCCTCCTCCTCCTCCTCTCCTCCTTCCTCCTCCACCCCTCCTCCCCTCCTCCGTCCTCCGCCTCTCCCCCTCCCCTCCTCCCTCTCCTCCTCCTCCTCCTCCTCCTCCTCCCTCCCCTCCTCCTCCTCCTCCTCCGTCCTCCTCCTCCTTCCTCCTCCCCTCCCCTCTCTACCTCCTCCTCCTCTCCTCCTCCTCCTCCTCCTCCGCCTCCTCCTCCTCCTCCTCCTCCTCGCTCCTCCTCCTCCTACTCCTCCCTCCTCCCTCCTCCTCCGCCTCCCTCCTTCCTCCTCCTCCGTCCTCATCCCCTCCTCCTCCTCCTCCCTCCTACTCCCTCCTCCTCTCCTCCTCCTCCTCCTCCGTCCTCTCCCCTCCTCCTCTCTCCTCCTCCTCCTCCTCCTCCTCCTCCTCCTCCTCCTCACCCCTCCTCCTCCTCCTCCTCCTCCTCCTCCTCCTCCTCCTCCTCCCCCTCCTCTCCTTCCATCACTTCTCCTCCTCCTCCTCTCCTCCTCCTCCCCTCCCCTCTACCTCCTCCTCCTCCTCTCCTCCGCCTCCTCCCCTCCTCACTCCTCCTCCTCCTCCTCCTCCTCCTCCTCCGCCTCCTCCTCCTCCTCCTCCTCCTCCTCCTCCTCCTCCTCCTCCTCACTCATCCTCCTCCTCCTCCTCCTCCTCCTCCTCCTCCTCCTCCTCCTCCTCCTCCTCCGTCTCCTGCTCGCGACCCCGGGCGGAGGTGGCGAGACCGCCACGGCCTACGGCCGACCCGTGTCATGAGGACGCGCGATAAGGGTGCAAGGGCCTTTCGGGCCGGGCGAACGGGGGGGAGAGCAAAGGGGGGGTCTGAGAAGCAGCTCGCGTGGCTGATTCTCCGGCGCCTCCCGGCGCCGGAGGCGGCCATGTATCGAGGGATGGGCCCCTCGGCGGGGCCGAAACCAGCTGCATGCAGCAGATTTCGTAACCCCCCCTTTCCCAATCCCCCCCTTCCGTCCGGCCCGAGCCTTGGACGGCCGTTTCGAAGCTCTGCAAGCGGGGCGCGGCCAGTGAAAGCGGCCAAGGATGGGCCGAAGGGGAAGGATGCAAAGGTGCCCTTGGGAAGGTTGCCCATCCATGCTATGCGGGCTGACTGTACTCGGGGGGCCTGTTGAGGACAGCTGGGACTGCTCGGGGGGCCTGTTGAGGCTAGCCCGCGCTCCTGGATGGGACTGTCTGTGTGCAACCTGGCGCCTTGCCAGGTGGGCCGGGCCCCCGGCAGCAAGGGCACTCCGTTGTTTGGAACGGCAGCGTCATGGCTGCTGCTCCGACCCCGGCGCTGCTTTGTCCCAGGTGTGCGGGGCCGCGGATTGCAAAATCTGGACCTGGGGAACAGCAAAGAAACTACCTGGTGTGAGACACTGGTCTCCAGGAAGGGGTCGAGAGCTCAGGGGGCCACGCATTTGAAACATTATGACGTCGGAGGTCTGGGGAGGCGAACTGATGTCGCAGTCGCTATGTGACGGAGCCCTATTTGTCTGCAAGCGTGGGGTTGGCCTTGCCCGCATTAAAACTCGAGGGAAAACGCTTGCGAGGCTGCATCCTGACATCCGACGTCCTTCTTTCCCGCAACGCGCCTCCCCAGAGGTCTGGACTTCCTCCTGGGAAAATCGTGTTTCAACCGCCCTGGGGACTGTTAGGGCACCCTGGAAGCCGGAAATGGCCCCAAACTTCCGATCGTCGTTTTTCACGACGCGAGGATGCATGGGCAAAGAGCAGCATTGTCTTGATCGCCCAGCTAGGCCTTCTTGCGCATGGTTTGGCTGATCGCCTCCGACTGCAGCAAGCTCGGGCTGGGAAGCGTCTTCTTGAATCCGCAACGGGGTAGAACCAAGCTGCGTCCCCAATCCGTAGGCGTGTGAGGGCACCACGCAACTCGAAGAGCTGTGGCGACCGCTGTTCAGGAGCGGTCCCTCCCGGCCCCACACGTAACGTCAGGGCATAGCATCGCATGCAGATGACTCATATGGTGTACCCGGCCCGTCATCGCACTGAACTGCACAACAAACCCACACCGCAAAATTTCCCAACACACATACATGCAAATTGCGCGCAAAATCCGCCATGGGGGAAGAAACCCTGGCTTCGGCATGCTGAGGCTTTTTCGGGCGGGTGGTAATGGGGGGGGCCAAATGGGAGGTGAAGAAAAGGAGCCAAAAGGGGCCCTCTAGGACCCCGTTTGGGCACCAATTGGCTCGAAAAGGGGCCCAAAAGGGCTCGCTTAGGGCCCGTTTCTTCACCCCCCATTTGGGGCACCCCCCATTACCACCCATGATTATGTCCTGGCCCTCCTGCGTTGGGTTCTCGTTTTGAACAGAGCACCGCGGTCGCGAACCTCCTTCCTCCCGCCTCCCTCCTTCTCTCTTCCCTTCTCCTGGTTTCTGCCTCTTGCCTATCTCTTTCCTGCCCGCCAGCCTGCCTCTTACACTCGCAGATTCAGACCTCCGGCGATGTTTTGTTTGCTTGGCTTCCCGCCGACGTCAGCATGCAGAGGCCAGGCCGCGTTTCTGGGCCCCGAGGAGGAGGAGGAGGAGGAGGAGGAGGAGGAGGAACAGGAGGAGGGGGAGGAGGAGGAGGAGGAGGAGGGGGAGGAGGAGGAGGAGGAGGAGGAGGGGGAGGGGAGGAGGAGGAGCAGGAGAAGGAGAGGAGGAAGGGGAGGAGGTGAGGAGGAAGGAGGAGGAGGAGGGAGGAGGAGGGGGAGGAGGAGGCTGGAGGAGGAGGAGGAGGAGACGAGGGGCAGAGCTCGCAGGAGGGCCCGCGGAGGCCCACGGCGGCTCGCCCGCCCGGCCCGGGGTCCGTGCCGGAGGCCGTCCCCCGGGGGCCCCTCCCGCCCGGGTGCCTAAGCCCGCTGCCTCGCCCGACTGCAGCAGGAGCTCGACCACAGGCGGCCTTCCACGAGATGCCCGGCCCTGAGGCCCCAGTAGGGGGCCACATGCGAACCCTACCCCCCCCCCCCCCCCCCACCACTCCCACCCCCACGATTTCTGAGAGGGGAGGGTGGGGTTCACTTCGCTCGGGAGCTCCCGAACGAAGTGAACCCCACCCGCCCCCTCAGAAATCGTGGGGGGGGGTAGGGGTATGGTTCGCACGTGACCCCCGACCCAGGGTGTCCACGCAGTCTTCACGCTGCCCATCGCGAGGCCATCAAGACCAGAGGGGGCCCGGGCACCCTGGAGGCAAGCAGCGTGTTTCTGGGCATGGGCATCCAACCCGAAGACCCCAATTTCGGGTTGGGGGGGGTACGGGTTCCAGAAGTATTTTCTCCATGTTCCCCGACCCCCCCCCAGGAAAGGGAGGGCAAATTGAGGCCTTCGAATTGGGATGTGGTGCTTTGGTGGGTGGTGATCGCCATCGCTCGGACGTCAATTCCCGGTGTATTTTTCGGCTTCGCGCGCGCATGTTTCGCACGACGGCCTCAAGTGCTCCTCGATGATCCTCGCAGAGAAAAAAAACGCACACAATCCGAGCGATGCCACGCGTTTCGACGCGGATCCCTCAGTGACGACGAGAGGCCTCCGGGAGCCCCAGAGACGACGAAGAGCGCGAGGGAGGACCGCCGCTGTCGCGACCCTCCTCCGAAGTGTGCTGATCAACTTGGCAGGGCGAGGGTTGCGGTCGAAACGCTGTCGTCAGGAACCCTACATAAGGAACGAGGCCTCATTTTCCATACATGAAACTTCGATTCCCCATATCAGACCTACGGAAAAACTCTAGGGCACATTGCAAAGCAATGAATGAACACTGAACGCCTCCCCAACGAAAAGGGCTCCCTCTTCAGCGGCCCGACTGCACAGTCGGGAACATTCGCTCAGCGTGTGGCCACAGCGGCCACGGCGACACGCTGTGCCCTGCAAGCGGACAGCGTGCCGCCCACGGCGTGTCGCTCCGCCTCGCGGGGCGGGAGGTCTCGGGGTCGGGGCACTGGCCGCCTGCGCACTGGGGACGTGGACAGCGCGTCGCGCCGCAGCGCGGTGGGCCGGCGTGGGAGGAGAAGGAGGAAGAGTAGGAGGAGGAGGAGGAGGAGAGGGAGGAGGAGGAGGAGGAGGAGGAGGAGGAGGAGGAGGAGGAAATGTGCAGGGGCGGCGCGACACGCGGAGCCAAACTCCCCGACCGCATCCGCCTCCGCGGGTCCACAAAACGGCCTCGGGACCCGCCCAGACGACGCCCCTCCAGAACCAGGCCCGCGGCCCCCCCGCGGATCCCAGCACGCCCCCCCAAAGAAGGGGGCCCCGCGGAGCCCCCGGGGAGGCGCCCTGGAAGCCCTCTGGCAGGGCTCGCGCCGAGGACAAACAGAAACCTGAGATCTTGGCGTCGCATCGTTCACCACGGGCGATTGTGCCCAGTCGGCCCCGGGACCATCACGGATCAACACGGCTTGAACCATGCAGCAGAGAGAAGCGATCTAGGGCTCCAGTCGTGATTTTTCGATATGTTGTAATATGTTCGTGACGTCGGATCTCAATGTCTGGCAAGGTACCGAAGGCTAAAACAACAACACAAGCAGCCCCAGGTCGGTCTGCCCAAGAGCACCCCCAAAGTGAAGCCTCAGCTTCGCAACGGCCCAAAGACGCCTAGGCCCCAGACACCCAGGGAGCCCTCACAAGAGCCCAAAAGAGGCCCTCATGCGCTCACAAGACTCGAAGAAGCCGCCTCCTCATCCTCCTCCTCCTCCTCCTCCTCCTCCTCCTCCTCCTCCTCCTCCTCCTCCTGCTCCTGCTCCAGCCTCCTCCTCCTCCTTCTTCTTCTTCTCCTCTTCCTCCACCTCCTCCTCCTCCTCCTCCTCCTCCTCCTCCTCCTCCCCCCCCCCCTCCCCTCCCTCTTGCCCCTTTCCACCACGTTCGCCTTTTTCTACCTCCAAAGGCCTTCTCCTCCTCTCCTCCTTCACTCCTCTCCTCCTCTCCTCGTCCGTCATCATCATCAGCATCATCATCATCATCACAGCATCATCCACATCATCATCACGTCTTCGTCATCATCATCAGCACCATCCTCCTCTCCTCCTCCTCATCATCATCATTATCATCATCAGCATCAGCATCATCATCATCAGCAGCAGCATCATCATCAGCATCAGCAGCATTACCCTCATTATCATCATCAGCAGCATCATCAACCTCATCATCATGATGGTCACATTCATCCTCAGCATCATCATCATCATCATCATCATCATCATCATCATCATCATCATCATCATCACCATCATCATCATCATCATCGTCATCATCATCATCATCATCATCATCATCATCATCATCATCATCACCATCGCCATCATCAACATCATGATCAGCAGCAGCATCACCATCGTCATCAGCATCAGCATCAGTGTCAGCATCATCATCATCATCAGAAGCATCAGCATGAGCAGCATCAGCGCCATCATCATCATCATCATCATCATCATCATCATCATCATCATCATCATCATCATCATCATCGTTATCATCAGCAGCAGTAGCATCAGCATGATCATCACCAGTATCATCACCATCATCAGCATCATCAGCATCGTCATCATCGTAAGCAGCCTCTGTATCGTCACCATCGTAATCATCATCACCACCATCCTCATCAGAATCATCACAGGCATCGTCATCAACACCAGCATCATTATCCTTATCAGCATCAGCCTCATCATCATCATCATCAGCAGCATCATCATCATCACCATCGCCATCATCAGCATCATCATCATCATCAGCAGAATCATCGTCGTCGTTATCATCATCATGAGCATCACAGGCATCAGCATCATCATCACCATCATCAGCATCCTCAGCATCGTGATCATCGTTAGCAGCATCATCATCCTCATCATCATCAGCATCATCATCAGCAGCATCAGCCTCATCATCACCATCGTCAGCAGCATCAGAATCATCATCAGCAGCAGCGTCATCAGCATCATCAGCATCGTCATTATCATCAGCAGCATCAGCATCAGCATCAGCATCATTACCATCCTCAGCATCATAACCATCATCAGCAGCATCATCATCACCATCACCATCATCATCATCAGCATCATTACAATCAACATCAGCACCATAAACATCATCAGCAGCATTATCATCAGCATCGCCAGCATCATCAGTATCGTCATCAGCATCATCATCATCATCATCATCTCATCATCATCATCATCATCATCATCATCATCAGCATCATCATCATCATCATCATCATCATCATCATCATTATCACCATCAGCAGCAGCATCACCGTCGTCATCCTCATCATCATCATCATCATGATCAATGTCATGATCATCCTCATCATCCTCATCCTCATCCTCATTATCCTCCTTCTGCTGCGCGGCTGCGCTAGTACGATGGCGGGGTGTGCCGCAGGCAGCCCGATAGCTCCTTAGAGTCACTGCCCCCCCGATCCAGCCTGCGGCAAATTCGTCTCGTGCCAACCCCGGCGTTGGTTTCCGACACCGCGTGGATGGTTCAATCTTGCACGATCGACGGCCTTTCGATCGCCAGATTGTTGTGTATTGGCCAGTCCTGGGCCACAACGGCGTTCAACCTGGACCGCCCGCGTGGTGTCGTCGCCGTGTCGATCTGATACGAACCTACCGTGCCCAACGCCTGAGGCTTAGCCTGATCCTCACTGGCCCGATTCACCGCCTGGAGGTGGGCGCGCAGGACCCCCAGAGATCTCCAGGGGGGCCCCCTGAAGTCTCTGCAGAATCTTCCTGCATGGCGGCCTCCTGAGGCCTCCTGCGTGGAGGCCTCCGAAGGGCTCCCGAGGCCTCTGCATGGAGGCCCAAAAGAGAAGCCAAGGACGTACGGGGCCCTTGGAGCTCTGGACCACTTCTCGGAGACCGGACTTTCGTCCCAGATCGCTTTTGACGGCCCCGTGGCCCAGCGATGGCCGCCCCAAACGACAGAAAACCTCCATCTTGACTTTGCTGTTCCTCCTCCCATTCGATGGAAGGCCCGATCGACCGCCACGATCCCGATCGGTCGCCGGATCGAACGGGCCAGCGGTCCGACCGAGCCCCGGCCAAAGGGCCAAGGTGTTAGCACTCCGATTAAGGACGGGTCCAGCGCATCGTCGTCGTTGAGGATCTTGATCGTCTCGTGAACCCGCCGGGCCCCCCGTGGTCCCGGTGGGGCCAGTGAGCGCAGCCGAAGCCCAGGCTCGGGGGAGGCGCAGCGAGGCGCCCGAGGCCGAGATTCTGTCGCGGCGCGGCTCCCCAAGAGGCCTCGGCCCGTTCCCTGGGGCCGGCGGCTCATCTCGATCCGCCCCCTCTGGCGGAGCCGGGGGCCCGGCCCCGGGGCAGGAGGCCGGGGGCGGCCGAACAAAAAAGCCTCGCGGCGTGCGCTCTCTCTCTCTGCAGGGCGCGGAGGTGTCTGGTGCCCTGGGGCCGGGGGAGCAGAGAGCAGCGCCAGTGGCACGCCGCCGTGGGAGGCCCAGCTCGGGGATGGACAAACCCCCCTTTAGTAGAACGTGGTTTAGTGAAAACGACCTGAGGCCCAAACCTGGCGGGCGCAAGCCTGGAAAATAACGGCCACGGTGCCCTCTCGAGAACCGAAAACGGACAATTCACTAATCGACGTGTCACTGTTGGGGGTTCTGTCCACCCCCGACCAGCAAGGGACGCACGTGGGACGCACAGAGACATTCAAAAACTTATGTCCGCCTTGGAGGCGCGCGTCCGACCCGAACATGCAGTATGCCCATCTTGCAGTGCATCGTTTCCCGGGCGGTGTGGAGAGAAAGCGCCCGCTACGACGCATATACTATGAGAGTGCTCGGTGCGCGCGTCGCCCCTGGAAGGGCGACACACACATAGCAGAAGTATGGTGGGGTGACGTCGAGCACAGGGACACACTACATAGCACTACACGTCCTCCTTGGAGGCACGCGACCGACCCGAGCAGGTAGTGAGCGTTTTCTTTTTATTCGGCCTCTCAACATGGGGCGGAAGGCGGGGGGGTCTGGCTCTGGACCTCTGCTTAGAGCGGCTGTTTGGGACCGTGCGTCCTAGGGGGGAGGCTCCACCTGCTCGAAACAGGCGCCAAAAAACAGCCAAGATCCACTCCAGGGGGGAGGGGCAGGGGGGGTCCGAGGGCCCGCGCCGATCGGCAAAACAATGAATACAAAAAACGATCACACAGTGCACCCACCTTGTAGATCGTTTCCCGAGCGGCGCGGCCAGATACCGCTCGCCATGACGCGTATACTACAAGAAGTCTCGGTGCGCGCGTCGCCCCTAAGGGGGCGACGCACACATAGTAGTAGCATGTTGGGATGACGCTGACATCAGCACGCTACTGCTCAAGAGGCACAAGGTCCTCGTACAAAGACGACGGAGCAACGCGCTGACGGGCTCCCCACGGCGACTCGTCATGGATACCCCTTCTCCCCTCCCGCGCGAGAGGCCGAGAACGGCCGAGAACCTTCCGTCGCGCCTTCCCTTCAATGGAGAACGCAAGAAAAACATAGAAGCAGACACTTTCGGAGCTCCGCGCGAGTTTCTTCGATCGGAGCTGGGGGGGCCCAGCGCCGATCCAAAAAAATCCGCGCGGAGCTCCAGATGCCCGGCGCGGAACGTATCCGTGCCACCGCGTATCCGCGGGATCGCGCCCGGGAATCCAGACCGCGAGGGCGCGGATACGGATACGTTCGCCGCTCGTGAATGGGGGAGGGGGGGGCTCTTCTCATGCCCTGTTTGAGTTGCCAACCGGTCGGGAAACGTCGCCAGAATGTGCAAGTTCGTTCACGGGGGCCACCTGCGGATGTTCAGGTCGACCTGAAAACTTTCAGGTCTGAATTGACCATCATATTCCAGCGCGCGTGGACCACTACTTCTTCACCAGAACAACCGAGCAACCCGTTCAGGTCGACATGCATGGACTCCGGTGAACCTCTGATCATAAGAAACTCCACAATGGCAGCCCGCAGAGAAGACAGGACCAAATTAGTGGACATACTCGGAGACTCGATGTAAGACACGTCAAGGACAACTGCCTGCCAACGCTTTCAAATACGACGCGAGACCAAAATTCGATTGTAATCGCGAGCACGCGCTGGTCGCACACACACGCACACATCCAGACACATGCTGCGCGGCATTGTAATGCATCGCACGTGCACGCACTGCGCTGCGCTGCGACTAACGTCGCCGCACTGGAGCGAACAGCGGCAAAAACACCCGTGCGATGCAGCGGAGGACAAAGCACAACGGCACACTACGGCACTAAAAAACACCGTTGCACGCTACGGGAGACTCGCGCATAAAGCATAAATCTGTCCGCTACAGAGCATCTCGTCGCGCTGCAATGCAACAAAACGCCGCGCAGCTCAAACGCTGCGCCGTGCTAACGCCAATAAAACACAATCAGCTAGCCCACACTAAGCTTTTTCGTGGCCTCTGGAGCGTCGGGCGACATTGATTGAGCCCAGCGTCGGAAGCATTGGCCGTAGGAATTGGCGCAATGCTGGAAGCATCGGCACAACTAATCAGCGTAGCGTCATGTGAGGCAGGGGAACACGATCTGGGAATCAACGTAACATCGAATGTGTCGGACACGAAAAAAGCGCGGCGTCGACGGCGCCGCCAACCCAAGAAGTCGAGAGAAGCGGCCGAAACGCATGCCCAGGCAAGCTTCGGCCAAGGTATGCGCACAGTATTGGAAGCGCCTGCCCCAAGAACAGAAATAGTACACAGGTTCCCTGGGCCAACGCCCAAGCGGCACTTCGCTGACTACCAGGGCACACGCGTAAGACGCAATGCTGATGCTTGGGGCTGACGCTTCCGACACTACCCTCGTTCCAAGGGCAGACGCCCCGATGCCGATACATCCCCACGCGACGCTTCTTTCCAACGCTTGCACCTGCCGAAACGTGTTAAAGACTGCGGCCGACGCCCAAGCGACAGTCCATCTGGAGACTCCGCCTTACCCGACGCTTCAGACACTACGCTAATTCAGTTGCGCATGTCACAGCTCGTCGCTTGTTTTTATGTATTTATATTATTACTATTTATATATATGTACCTATAGGACCACCCTTCGGGTGATAAGGAGGTTCGGGGGGGGGTGCAGCGTCTCACTCGATCGGTCTCACTATCCATCTCACTATCGGTCTCGCTCGATCGATCTCACTCGATCGATCTCACAATCGATCTCACTCGATATATCTCATTCGCTCGGTCTCACAATTGATCTGATTATCGATCTCACAATCGATCTCACATTCGGTCTCACGATCCATCTCACTACCGATATCACAATCGATCTAACATTCAACGTCATCATCATCATCACCAACACCATCATTTTCATCGTCATCGGGACACTGTCGTCATCATCATCATCATCATCGTCATCAACGCCATCATCATCAGGCCATCATCATCATCCCCATCATCATCTCATCATAGTCAGCAACATCATCATCATCATCGGTACACAGCCTTCGTCATCATCACCATCAGCATCATCATCATCGGGACACCATCATGGTCACCATCATTGTCACCGTCAACATCATCAACAACATCGGGACACCATCATCATCATCATCATCATCATCATTATCATCATCATCATCATCATCATCATTTAATCATCATCATCACCACCAGCATCATCAACATCATCGGGACACCATCATCATCAGCAGCATCATCGTCACCAACATCATCATCAATATCATCATCGGTACACCATCACCATCACCATCATCATCACCACCGTCATAATCATCATCATCGGGATACCATAATCATCATCAGCAGCATCAGCATTACCAACATCATCATCAACAACAACGGGCAGAAACATCAACATCATCGTCTCATCATCATCATCAACAACATCATCAACATCACCAGCGGGACACTGCCATCGACGTCATCACCATAAGCATCATCATCATCGGGACAAAACATTGTCACCATAGTTGTCATCGTCAACATCATCAACAACATCGGGACACCATCATCATCAGCTCATTATCATCATCATCGCCAGCATCATCAACATCATCGGGACACCATCATCATCAGCAGCATCATCGTCACCAACATCATCATCAATATCATCATCGGTACACCATCACCATCACCATCATCATCACCACCGTCATAATCATCATCATCGAGATACCATAACCATCATCAGCAGCATCAGCATTACCAACATCATCATCAACAACAACGGGCAGAACATCAACATCATCGTCATCTCATCATCATCATCAACATCATCATCATCATCACCAGGACACCATCATCGTCATCATCATCACCATCAACACAACCATCATGATCATCATCAACATCATCATTATCGGGACACCGACGGGGCACCGACGGGACACCGGCGGGACACCGCGGGCCCCCGGCCGCCCGGAAGGGAGTCATTTGGTCCGGCCGCGCCTCAGCCACACGGGACACCAGCGGGACACCGGCGGGACACTGCGGGCCCCGGCCGCCCGGAAGGGAGACATTTGGTCCGGCCGCGCCTCAGCCACAGGAGACTTTCTCTCGCCCGCCCACGCAGCTTCGCCTCGCCCGCACGGCACGCACGAACACGAAACCGAAATCGATTTCCCGGTAGGGGGGCTCTCCGTTCCACTTCGATCTCACCCCCTCACCTCCGATAAATGTACCTGGACACCAGCAGTACCCAAGCCACACAATTTCAACTGGGTCGAAATTCGCTGAACGCCATTCCATCTGTCGCGCTGAACCATACCACGCCACACCAAGCCAAGCGCCGAACCAAACCACGCCACTAAGAAGTTCACGATTCAGAGTGAGATGCGGAGCTGGCTGGACCAGGCTCATGTGCACGATGCCCAGCATGGAAGCCGTTCAAGCCATCCGCACGAACGTAACGAAGCGTGACGTCTGAGCCACGGCTGGGACGACCCAGACATTGGCAGCGGCCACGTGGAGGAACTTCAATCGATGCATTGGGGCCCCCCGTGCTGTACTTGACATTGGGCGCTGCCACCGCCTCCGCGCTTGCATAGTCACTCTGGGCAAAACTTCGGTGGCACTGTATATTAAACATATGTTTCCTCGCGAACTGCCAGCGATATGTTACATATCGCTGGCAATTCGCGAGGAAACAACGAGTAAGGAAAAGGCATCGCAGCAGCTGGGCGAGAGAGGCTGGATGTCGCTAAGGTCATGTAAAAGATAACTGGCATGGACACTCTAGTGTTCAAGCGAAGAGGAGACCTAATGAACAAAGAGGAAAAAAGAAAGGGTCGAAAACCCAAAACAATTACAAATAAAATAAACATAAAGAATCTAGAAAATAACACAAAATAAAAAAAAGCAAGAAAAAAACAAAGAACAAAGCACAACAAAGAGAAAACAATCAAGATAAAAAAAGAAACAATAAGCGAAGAGGAGAAACATATCCGCTTAACGCTCACGCGATCAAATACCTGCAAGCTGTTCTGCGACATACAACTCGTTTGGATAGCTCGAGAGGTAGCTGAGCCGAAACAAATACAATCGCTCACAGACTTTCCGTAATACAATCGAAGCACGCTGCTTACAATGGTGACAAATATGTACTATTCACTGCAGCATCACGATACACACGCACACACGTCCACCATATCGTGTTGAATCCGCCACCGTGCTTTCACCACGTAGGAGAGAGCGCGTTTCACGGGTGCTTGCCTTGGGAACATTCGACGGCGCGTTTAGAACAGGGGGGGAGCCCCCCTCAACACTCGGCGCCGTCGATCAGAACCAGGGGGACTCCTCCCCCTAACCCCCCCCTTCCACAAGCCCTCGCCCCTCTCCCTCCCGGAAGGGGGGGGGGCTAAAACCCCCTCCCCGGCGCCGGCGCCGGCGCTGGCGGCGGCCAGCAGCGGCGACGGCGGGGAAGCAGCAACGATGACCAGAGAGGGCTCAGGGAGGAGAGGGGGGGAGGGTTCCAAACCCCCCCCCCTCCTCCCTTGGCGCCGGCGCCAGCGCCGACGCTGGCGGCGGCCAGCGGCCAGCAGCGCCGACGGCGGGGACGCAGCAACGATGATCAGAGAGGGCCAAGAGGCCAGAGGGGAAACACAAAGCGCCATCCCTTAGGAAGGTCCAGGAGGCTTCACAAATGCTCCTCTGACGCCCCCGGGACCCCTCTGACGAGACCTCAGAAGCATCCATCTGGACTTTGACCCAAAGCCAAAAATTCGTGGCGGGAAAACCCGAGGCCACCCTTCTACCACGACCACCACCACAACAGCAACAAACCACCACACCACCACCACCACACCACCACCACCACAACCACAACCACCACAACCCACAACCACCACCATCACCACAAACCACTACACCACCACCACCACCACCACCACCACCACCACCACCACCACCACCACCACCACCAAAAACGCCACCACCACCGCCACAAACCACCGCAACCACCACAACCACCACCGCAACCACCACACCACCGCCACCAACAACACCACCACCGCCACCACCACAACAACAAACCACCACACCACCACAACCACCACAACCGCCACAACCACCACCGCCACCACCACTACACACCACCCACCACCCACCACCACCACCACCACCGCCACCATCATCGCAACGACAAAACACCACGCCACCATCACCACCGCCACCACCGCCACCACCATCACCACCACCACCACCTAAACCCACCACCACCACAAACCACCACACAACCACCACCACCACCACAGACACCACCACCACCACCACAATCTACCACACCACCACCACCACGACCGCCACAACGACCGCCACCACCACCACCAGCACGACCCACCACCACCACCACCACAAACCACCACACCACCAACATCACAAACCACCACTCAACCACTGCACCACCACCACCACCACCACCACCACCGCAAACCACCACACCAGCACCACCACCACCGCCACAACCACCAAGCTTCACCACCATATCAACCTACCACCGCCACCACCAACCACCATAAACCACCACACCACCACCAACACCACCACCACCACCTCCGACCACTACCACCCCCACCCCACTTCCACAACCCACCACAACCACCGCCACCACCCACCACCAGACCACAAACCACCACACCTTAGCCACCACCATCACCGCCACACCGCCGCCACCACCACCACCACCACAACCCACCACCACCACCACCACAAACCACCAACCACACCACCACTGCCACCGTCACCACCACCACCCACTACCACAACCACCACCACAACAACAAACTACCACACTACCACCACCACAACAACCACAACCGCCACCACCACCACCACAACCCACCAAACCACAACCACCCCACCACCACAACCACCACGACAAACCACCACACCACAACCCACCACCACCGCCACCACCACCACCACCACAACTACCACCACCACCACCAGAAACCACCACACCACCACCACAACCCACCACCACCGCCAACACCACCACCACAGCCTGCCACCAGAACTACCACAATAACCACCACCATCAACACCACCACCACCGACCACCACACCACCACCACCACCACCAACACCACTGCCGCAACCACCACCACCACCACCACCTCAAAGAGGCCCCAGCAGACGCCAAAGAGGCGCCCAGGATGCTTAACAAATGCCTCTCAGAGGTCCCCGAGAGCCCTCCGACGAGAACCCAGGAGGCATCCATTAGGACTCTGAACCAAAACCAAGGCACGGTGGCGAAGCGTCGTCGTCGTCGTCATCGTCGTCTCCGTCGTCCTCGTCGACGCTCCCCGCCGCCGCCGCCACCCGCCGCAGGCGCCGGCGCCGGCCCAGAAAAGGAAAACGTCGTCTTCATCGACGCTCCCCGCCGCCGCCGCCAGCCGCCGCCGACGCCGGCGCCGGCCCGAGGAGAGGGAGAGAGGAGGGGGCGGTGGAGGTTCGAACCCCCACCCCCTCCGTCACGGGAGAGGTGGGGCGAACCCCCCCCCTTCAATCTAGGGGGGGGGGTATGGTTCCAATCGCCCCCACCGCCAAGCGCCCACAGAACGCGCTCTTTGTCACGTAGGGGAGCGCCCTAAGGCTATTTCAAATGGGAGTTCGAGAGATTGAGGGGTTCTCAAGAGCCTCGACCCGGGCGGTGTCAGGCGCTTCCGGCGTGTGCCGCATGGGCATCCGGGAAGTCAAACCCGCCCAATTCGATCCCCTCATCTCGCAAGATCCTTCCAAAAAGCGCTCAAATAAACTCAGGAACCTGAGGTAGCCCCAAGGGACCGTCCTGGGGCTCTGTTGGGGGCCTCCTGGGCCATCTTGGAGACTGTAGACTGGCCCAGGAGGCCAAAATCACTGAAAAGATTCTGGCTTTTGGTCTTGAGATCGCCCGAGACAGTGGAAGAGGCCCCCAGGATCCGCACAAGAGGGCCCCCAGGCCCCCAAGAGGGCCCGAGAGGCTCCCAAGAGGCCTCCAAGAGGGGCCCAAGCGGTGGACCTCGAACTGCCATTCGGAGCTCTCCACTCCAGGACGGCCCCCGAGACAGCCAACAGGCCCCCAGAAGACTCCCCAGGGGCCCACCAGGGGCCCCCAGAGGCCCACCAGGGGGCCCCAAAGGAGGCCCCGATGAGGCCCCAAGAGGCCCTCCGGAGCTCCAGAGGCCCCGAGAGCCCCCTCAGAGGCCCACAAGAGGCCCCCCGGCGGCTCCCCAGAGGCCCCAAAGAGGCCTCCGAGAGGCCCTCAGGAGGCATCCGAAAAGTCCTCGCGGTCCACGACCCAAGCACGGTGGCGGAATGGGCGGAAGGCCGCGAGATGCGCGCAGCAAAACTGCGGCAGGTTCGTGCCGTGCCGACCTCGGCCTTGGTTCGTGACACCGCGGGGATCGTTCAACCGTGCACAATCGGCCGTTTCTGGAACGTCAGATCGTTCACTATCTACCGATTCTCTGGGTCGCGGGCGGCGTTCCACGTTGAACGCCGGCGGCGGGGTCGCCGCCGGTCGACACGACGTGAACCTACGGTAAAACATATTTCACTGCAGTGCACTGCACTGCGCCAAGGCGCAACGCACTAAACCAAAATGACGGCGCAGTGCGCAACATGATTCGTCGCTGTAGCGTGCAGCATTGTTTTAGACTGCGTTAGACAACGCAGACACATGGAAAAGACGCAGGCACGCAGATGCGCAAAGTGGTCAGTTTGAGAGTTGTCTACAGCGTGTGTGGCCCTGTCCTAGGTGGTTCCCACATCAGCAGCAGCAGCAGCAGCAGCAGCAGCAGCAGCTCAGCATAAGATGCTCCCCATGCAGACAAGCATACATTACCATACAGTGATGATTGAACCGCAGGACTCGCACAGCATAGGTCATGATTGAGGACACGCGTTTGTGCAGTCGACCTGTGCATGACAACTGAAACGTGATCACAGTCTGCACGTAATGTGATAGCACCTCCTGGCCAGGAGCCTTCACACGCTTTGTGGTCTGGGCGACGCTCAGCCGAAATCCGCACTGTCGGCTGCTGCTGCGACCACGGCAACCCGAAATATGCACATGAACTGATACTTCCAGGCATGGGGAGGGGGTCCAGGCAGCTCGGGCCAAAGGCTGGAGGATAGCAACAAGTTCCTCTGCCCTCAGCTTCTTGCGCTCCTCCCACTCTCCAGTCTTTGAGTCGCAGTCCTTCTGGATTTGCTCCTGAGGGAATCCCCAAATTATGACAACTCAGTGGACATTTGTTTCGCGAACATTGAAACTCAATGACGGCTCGGTAGCCGACAAGAAAGTACAGGCGTTCACGTGGGAGAGATATGATAACAGAGAACGGGCGGTGCGGCACCCACTACCTGCTTTGATCTTCAGCTGTATGCCGCTCTAGATTAAACACCCCTGGAGCAAGCCCTTCCTCGTTTACACAGGGGGCGCGATCCACTACCGACTGGATGATCATATCAGGAAAGCAACGAAGTAATGACTTGTCTGACTGACTGGCCGTCTGCCTCACTGCTTCTTTTATCTTGCGAATTCAATGCGCCAGGGGGAGCATGGTAGGTCAGAGGAGGGGGGGCAGAGAGAAGGACGCCTCCGATCTGCAGGCGAGCGAGGGCGACACCACCTGTCCTGGTCCGCCCACGCATAGACCTGCTTCGAAGCAGGCGCCCTTGGCCCAGGCTCATGCCAGGGACTGTTAGGATTCACCTCGTAGCTGTCCAAGCTCATGCGATGCGGTGAGTCCCCGCCAACATTGGAGCACTTGATCCCCATGTACGCACAGACGCAGGGTGGTGTTAGCACGTCGCAGTGGGCGTTCACGCGTGCCAGCGCACCCGCCAACTCCAGCACCCTCCTTCCCTCATCCAGGAGAGCCACAAATCGAATCGATAAGTTGAATCCGCGATCGGAATGAATCGGATCGGCGGGAGTCGGCAGCCAAGTCGGGAGAAGTCGAACCGGCGGAAGAAATTTGGTTGACCCAAAAGGGGGTCCAGCTGAAAGGGGGTGGTGCAGTAAATTTGGGGCAATTGTATTGCAAATGTATTGCGCCAGTGCATTGTTTTGCATTGTATTGCAGCCACTGCATTGCACGCGAAAATCAAGCAATACATCTGTGCACTGGAATGTATTGCACGCCCCAAACCTACTGCAACCCCACAAGTCTATCGCACCAAATATATTGCACCACCCCCTTTTCGCTGGACCCCCTTTCGGGTCAACCAGAAGATATCGGCAGGCTAGTAGGCCTCCATTCAGAAATCGACGCCCAAATCGGAATCCGAAGTCGAATCCAATCGAAATCGGAATCCATCGAAATCGAATCGAATCGAATCGGAGGAGTCGAAATGAGCCATGTCTTTTCCTCCTCCCTATCCACACGCTCCTTCCCGCAGGCATTTTCCTCAATCTCGCTCCAGATCCTTTGCGGCCGACTGCTCCGTCACCAGGCCCTCGGCGTCGTGATCTCTTCGCGGCGCCAGCCCCCTGGCAGCGTTTCGCCAGTGGTCCCCAATAGTACGGCGACATATCGAACAGCCCGAAACACGGCCGGACCTCGGACAGAAGCACATCCCTCAAGGATGCGAGACACTGCGCCGGCCAGACGGAGGAACACTCGAGGGCACCCTCCCCGAGGACTGCACAGGAACATCCAGCAAACACGAAGAACATCGGGGGCAAACAAACCTACCTCGCTTTTGACCACCCTCGCTTCCAAGAGATACCAAGCGATGCCAAACTACGGCCCGTACTGGTCAGGCCGCTTGACGAGGCGGCGCGTGGTATGACTTGGTTTTGCCTGGAAGCGAAAGCGGGGTAGGTAATCCACGCTCTGAGAACATCGGGGTACCCTCCCCGAACCGACCTCGCTCTTACACCGCGGTGCGACCGTATCTCCAAATGGCGCCTGGCAGCTTGCCGGGCCGCGGACGACGACAATCCCGCGGAATGCTCCCCCCACGCCCCAGGGGGCCGCTGTGCCCATCGATTTTGCCAAAGACCAGTCTTTGCTCGGCGCGCGCGCGTTTTGGATTGCACCGCGTCCCAAAGCGTCCCCCGAGCGATCCAGATCGAGGAAAAAAAAACACTCGCCTCGGTGTGGCTTGTTCGTGGGCGACGAGCGTCTTCGATTTCTTCGTGGCGAAGGGTGTCAGGGCACGTTCTCCGCGCGCACCCGTCGCCGCGTGGCCCCCCCCGGCTCCGCGAACTTGAGGTCCTCGGCAAGGCTGCCCTGCGTTGCCTGGAGGTCCTGCTTCATGCTCACGACGCCCACCTCCAAGGGCGTCGCTCGGGCTGCGGAGGCGTGAGCAGGGAGGAGGTGGAGGAGGATCACGACGACGAGGAAAAAAAGAAGAAGACGATGATGAAGATGAAGAATGATAACAGCAATATAACATAATAATAAGAAGAAGAAGAAGAAGAAGAAAAAGAAGAAGAAGAAGAAGACGAAGAAGAAGATAGATAGCCCCCAAACAAAAACAAATGCGCACAACCACTCGGCGGGCCGCGCGGCCGGCGCTGGACCCCTTCCCTGCACGCCTTCCCCGCCGCGGTGCTGCCAGGGGGTGCGGGAAAGGGGGTGCTCAGCGCCGACCCAAGACATCCGCAGGAACGTCTGGAGGTGCCCAGTGGAGGCCCGACCACAAGGGACCTTCCACAAGGAGCCCAACCCTGGGACCCCAGGACGTCCACTGATTTTGTCTGGTGTGGGCACGCCACGCCTTCCACAGCAGAACCATCGAAGCCCAAGAACCCCAGGGCACCCCGGAGGCAAGCAGGGTGCTTCTTGACATGGGCCTCCACTGTATTAGGGAGCCGGAGAATTGCATAAACGTACAAACTCGAAGGTCCGCGCGGACTTCTTGGATCCGCGATGGACTCCCCTCCCTGGCGCGCGGAGCGCGCCAGGGGCGGCGCCGGAGGCGCCGCCGGGGGGGTCCAGCGCGGATCCGAGAAATCCGCGCGGACCTCTGAGTTTCTGTGCTCGTGTCACGCCTCGCTCTCGCCTATGTAATTATCCCCCCTACCCCGGCCGCCTGCAGCTCGCCGATGCGGGAGGTCTTCGACTCGATCTCGGCGGTGAGGACGTTGACCTCGCCGGCCGCCGGAGGGCGAGGCGGGGGGGTCGGATGGGCAAGCCACGAGCGAAGGGCCGGGCCCCGCCTGCCGCCCAGCCCGCGGGGGCCCGACGGTCGGGGAGGGCCCGAGTGGCGGGGGGGGCCCGACCACAAGGAAGCGCCCACAAGGAGGAGGAGGAGGAGGAGGAGGAGGAAATGAGGAGAGGATGAGAGGAGGAGCGGAGGTGGAGGAGAGATGGATGAGGAGCCCCCTCCTCCTCCTCTTTGTCCTCCAGACACTCCCGCTCCCTCCACCTCCTCCTCCGCATGGTCCTCCCCTACCACACTCCTCTGGCGTTGCTGCCCCCCATCCAACTTATGATGGTGGCGGTGGAAAACAGGCCCATCATTTTGAACGGATTTGGCGCCAACCCCCTTCTCCTGAGCGGTCTTCCAGGGTCCCATCCAGTTCAGACCCCCTGGGCCGCCTCCGAGGCCCAGGCACGTCCAGGCATCTCGACCTGTGGATCCTCGAACCTCGAACCTCGGTGGTCGTTCTGCTGCCCTCAGGAGCTCGGCTCCCTTCGCCCTCCCTTTGCCTCGCCATCTTCGGGCGTGCCCACATTTGAGGCACTGCGGACGAAGCGCAAGCCGTCCATGGCGTGTTCGTTGAGGTGGGGCGGGTGTATGGAGGGAGGACGCCTGATCAGTCAGAGCTCCCGTTGGAGCTCCCGTTGGACCTCCCAAGGTCCATCTGGTGCAGCCCGGCGGCCCCGGGGCCCGAGAACGGCCCCCGGAGGCCGAAAGGGGCGAACGACCTGGCCGCACCCAGCGCCTCGAGCCGGCCCGCCCTTCCTGCTGGCCGGCACCACTGCCGGGCCACCTCGGGCCCCCAGACGGCTCCAAGCTAAGGCCCCTGAGGGCATCCGTAGTCCAGGTGGTGAGCTCCGTGAGAGAGAGACCTCCCGGGGCCCGAGAGGAGGCCCTCCAGGAGGGGCCCGAGAGGGGGCCCTCGAACTGCCGCTTGGAGCCCTCCACCCCGAGAGGGCCCCCGAGTCTGGCCAGCAGGCACCACGGGAGACCACGGGCCAGAACGGGACACCACGGGACACCGCGGGACACCTCTCGATCTCACTATCGGTCTCACTATCGATCTCACTATCGATCTCACTCAACGGGACACCATAGGACACCACGGGACACCTCGGGACACCACATCGATCTCACTATCGAACTCACTATCGATCTCACATTTTGGGACACCACGGGACACCTCGGGGCACCACATCGATTTCAATATCGATCTCACGATCGATCTCACTATCGATCTCACTCAACGGGACACCACGGGACACCACGGGACACCACGGGACACCACGGGACACCGGACACCACGGGACACCACGGGACACCGCGGGACACCGCGAGCCACCGCCGGACGGACGGACGGACGGACGGGAGAGAATCATTTGTCTTGACTTCGCCCTAGCAGCGGCGGACACCACGGGACGCCACGGGACATCACGGGACACCGCGGGACACCGCGAGCCACCGCCGGACGGACGGACGGACGGACGGGAGAGAATCATTTGTCTTGACTTCGCCCTAGCAGCGGCGGACACCACGGGACGCCACGGGACATCACGGGACACCGCGGGACACCGCTAGGGCCACCGCCGGACGGACGGACGGGAGAGAATCATTTGTCTTGACTTCGCCCTAGCAACGGCGGGTTCATCCCTCTCGCGCGTCCACGCAATTTCGCCTCGCCCGCACGCACGACACGAATGAAACGAAACGATTCCCCGGTTGGGGGTCTCCGTTCCACTGCCATCTCACCCCCCGACTTCCGATATGGCCGCGACGGGCGCGAACGAGCGGGGGCCACGAAGGGCATACGAAGATTGGGCCGCAGAGAGCAAGGACGGGGCCACTTCGGGCAGCAACGGGGCCACGCAGGGCAGCGAGGGAGCCGCGAAGAGCGACAGCGGGACCACGAAGCGCATGCATATGGGGCGACGGTGGGCGCGAACGTGCGGGGGCCACGCAGGGCATACATATATGGGGCCACGAAGGGCAGCGATGGGGCCACGAAGGGCTGCAACGGGGCCACGAAGGGCAGCGAGGGAGCCACGAAGGGCTGCAACGGGGCCACGAAGGGCAGCGAGGGGGCCACGAAGGGCTGCAACGGGGCAACGAAGGGCAGCGAGGGGGTCACGAAGAGCTGCAAAACGGGGCCACGAAGGGCTGCAACGGGGCCACGAAGGGCAGCGAGATCCCGATTTCTAAATAAGCTGTCAGGGAGTCCTAAGCGTGAGCGCGACTCCTTGGTGCCTGGATGTCGGGAGCGCGGCGCTAATTGCGGGCAATTCCATCGCAAAAGCGCGATTCTCAAGTAACTTGCAAGCAAGTCTCCAGCGAAAGCGCGACTCCAGAGCGCCGACAGAGCGATTCCTGAATAAGTTGTAAATAAATCCCAACCGAGAGCGCGAATCCTGAGTAAAATGTCAGGAAGTCTCGGGCGGGAGCGGGGGTCCTTGCAAAAATTGTGAGGAAGCATCAGGCGGGAGCCGCTGTTGTTGTTGTTGTTGTTGCTGCTGTT